TCGGTTCTCTGCGTCTCGTAATCCTCCTTCTTCGCACCTGTAATCTCTTGTTCTGCATTACTATAAGGTTCTTGACCTGCGTGACCTGTGGAAGTAGAGCTGCTTTCTACAGAGTTGTCGGTGGAATTGTTTATTTGGTGACTCCTCAGTTCTGCAGTTGAAATTTCTGATTCTTTATTGGGATGGAAAGCTTCTATAATTTCAGGTGGTCTTATTTCTTCCTGTGCACGTTCTACTGGTGAAAGCGTATCCTCGGTTTCCGTGTTGGTTTTTGGACTTTCCTGATTTAGCGTGGGAGTCCTAGGAGACGTCTCTTCTGGTAGATACTTCTTGAGATATGGTACTGCCTCTTGGATTGGTAGTGCTGAGAGTTTTACTAAATCATTTGTGACTCTTACGGGTTCGGAACTTTCGGCACCCTCCGTCCCGTTGTGCTCCTTCGCAACCGGAACCTCCTGTTCTACATTCCTGTGAAGTTCTCGACCTGCGTCAATTGTAGCACGAGAAGTACTTTCTACAGCGTCTTCGCTGGAATCGTTTATTTGGTGATCCCTGGATTCGCTGGAAGCATTTGATTCTTTAGTGGGATGTAAAGCTTCTATAATTTCAAGTGGTTTTTTTTCTTCCTGTACACTTTTGTCAGTCTGATTTTTGACTTTGTCGTTTATTTCTGGCTCTGCGATAGGGTATTGGGCCATGTCTTGAACGTGAAGGTCAATTTTTAATAAGTCATCAAAATTATGTTTTGTTTTTCTTTGTTTTCTCTTCTTTTCTTCTTGCGGATCAGTTACGTCTTGTACTTTGCAGACGTGAATTTTTTTCTTTTCACCTACGTTTTCGTTTGAACTTGTTGAGAAGTGGGGTGATCTCTTGTTTTCCGTTCTCGCTTTTCCGTCGGGGTTTTCAGGTACAGGTGGAGTTTCTTTAATATTCGTGTTTACTTTTTCTTTTGTGTACTGGTCCAGGTTAGCGTTGTCCTAGAAAAGTGAACTTTGTATAATAGCTCAGCTGCGAGATAACTTGCAGTTTTTGTAGCACTTTTAAATTCGAAATTCTCGGTTTGGCCTTAATAGGAGAAAGTTGTTACGAAGAACTAGTGTAATTTAGATAAATCAAAATGCGTTTTCACTCTGCATGTTCACCTTTATACAACTACTGCTGGCGCTTTTAACTGAGCTGCAGAAAAACTATACTTTGTAATTTTTCCTGTTTTTGAGCTTGTTCGTCACTGGGTTCGCTTGCTGGTCCTTATTCGCACCAAAGTTCACATTAGATTTTGAACTGATAATCTTTTTAGAATTGCTAATTGTCAAAAAAATTACTAGTTATTTTTGCTGCAGATTGCTCTTCAGAAAGAATAAATTCTTGCTTTCAGATCAGTGTTGTGAAAATTCGATCCTCCATATGAATTTTCAAAACATTTATTTCATAGAATCAATTTTTTACTGTCGTTGTAAATTC